GCCCTATTAATGATCTAGCATTGTCTTCTTTATGAATCGAAAAAAGAGCTCACTGCCACACTGCACTAGAATTTGCACACTATGTCTTTTTTTTTAAAGAGAGAGAGAGAGAATTTTTAATATTTATTTTTTAGTTTTTGGAGGACACAACATCTTTGTTTGTATGTGGTGCTAAGGACACAACATCTTTGTTTGTATGTGGTGCTGAAGGTCGAACCTGAGCCGCACGCATGCCAGGTGAGCGCACTACCGCTTGAGCCACATCCCCAGCCCATGTCTTTCTTTTCTTAAAGATACCATTGTTTGGTGTGCTTCCAAAAAAAAGAGAGAGAGAGTGAGTGAGAGAGAGAGAGAGAGAGAGAGAGAGAGAGAGAGAGAGAGAGAAAGAAAGCCAAAGTCTTTAAGGATTTAAATGCCCTCTGTATTTCAGTAACAACAAAATAGTTTTCTTGTAGTTGAAAAAACATTACTTTAATTGCACTTCTTCAAGCCTTCTGTCTTTATAGATTCAGAGGTAATCTACAGTAACTATTTTGTCATATAACCACTTTGCATATGTGTACATATTTATTTGCTGACATATTCCTTAAAGAATTTCAGATGATTCCGTCATACCGAGCAATAAATAGTCAAAAAAATGTTATTAGTCAGCTTTGCATTTATGTGACCAAAATGCCCGACAAGAACAACTTAGAGGAGAAGAGATGTTTATTTTGGCTCACAGTTCCATAGATTTAGTCCATGGTCAGCTAAATCCTTTGCTCTGGGCTGAAGGTGAAACTGACCATCACGATGGAAGAACATGGTCAAGCAAAGCTGCTCTATTCCTGGGGGTCAAGAAGTAGACTGGTGTTATGGGGGGTGCAAGTCAGATGATGCTTCCAGGGCTTACCCCTGTGACCCACCTCCTCCAGCCATGCCCCACCTGCCTATACTTACCCCCCACCATCAGTCCCAACTAGGATGGACTGATTAGGTTGTCGCTCTCACAATCCGATTATTTTACCTCTAAACATTTCCATATCAATACAGGAGCATTGAGGGGGCACTTCATATCCAAACCGTAACATATACCATCCCCAGAAGATGAACATGTGAAGTTGAATCATTGATGTGGTTCCAAATAAGCTCAACTCTAACCTTCATTTGGCTTAAGGAGATAGACATTTAAGCTAAACCCTTAAAGTTGTATTATTAAAGATAACGGGCTCTTTGGGTACAGTCATAAATTCTTCTAAGTGACCAGTTTTCATTCCAATGCAAGTCAAGTAGGAGAGCTCTCCAACGGAGGTGTCTGCACTGAATGTTATCAGATGCTTCTCGTATGAGTGTATAGTCATATATGTGTTTCTTGTCTCCCCTGATGAATTCCATGGATGAATTATTTTTCCACATAAGAAAGTAAATTTCTGTTGATTGTAAGGATGAGATAAAAACAGGGGAGAGATGGAAATAAAACACATTGTTTTATCCTAAGGCAAACATCTTCAACTCAACATGGGGTAGCTCTACCTTGGCAGCGATGCTCATAGCCATGTGAACAGCTCTACAAATGTGTGTATTAAGTGTGGCTTCCATTATGTGGAAATCACTGCCGGAGAAGCGGAGCAGTTTCACCCTGAGACACTGTTCTGTAAAGTTAAGAACAGCTTTATCCCCAGGAAGCTTCTAACAATGTTTAAATCCTCGGAATTTTACAAAGCAATCTATTTGTGAAGTCTAAAAATGCCATACGGAATAGTAAACACAGCCAATATGTTACATTCACTTGCAGTTTTTGTTTTGGGGATAAGGTTCCTTAGACAGCAGCCCTAGACAAAGACAGCTGAGGGGCTGTGCCTGTGACATTGCTCAATTTAGTATGTCTGTTGAAAGAATTATTTATCCCTGATATTTTATAGACTTCTCAAGGATATGTTTGTTTGTTTAGGGTTTTGTTTTGTTTCTCAGTGTGATTTTAAAAGTGACAAATTAATTTTAATGAAGAGTAATCTACCATCCTAACTATGATGAGACAAAAATGTTTATGGTAAGCTTTTTATTAAGACTTAATGGAGGGCCAGGGTTGTGGCTCAGTGGTAAAGCACTTGCTGAGCATGCGTGAGACACTGGATTCAATCCTGGAACCACATAAAAATAAATAAAATAAAGGTATTGTGTCCATCTACAATTAAAAAACAATTTTTTAAAGACTTAATGATGGAGTTGTAGAATATCATGGTAAGCAAAGTAAGCCAATCCCCAAAAAACAAAGGCTGAATGTTTTCTCTACTATGTGGATGCTAATTCTCAATAAGAGGGGGGCAGGCACTAGGGAAGAATAGAGTTACCTTAGACTAAGGCAGAGGGGAGTGAAGGGAGGGGAGGGGAGAAGAGGAGATACGGGAATAGGAAGATAGTAGGATGAAACAGACATTATTACTTTATGTGTATATATGACTGCATGACCGATGTGATTCTACAACACGTACAATCAGAAAAATAAGAAATTACATTCATCTATGTATGATATATCAAAATGCATAAATGCATTCTATTATTATGTATACTAATCAAAACAAATAAAAAATTAAAAAATTAAGACTTAATGGAACACATCAGTCTGAATAATGGATAATTTCAGGCCAAATCTTCCACTTAATCAGGTATATAAATGAATAGACATTTGCCCTACATAAGACAACAGTCCTCTAAAAATCTTGGAATAGCAATGATTATTGAAAGGGCCTTTGTCTCCCGGAATGAGATGTTCTCATCTTGTTACTAACTCATGGAATGCCATTGTTTTCCACCAGATCAAATAATTCTTGACAGGCTAATGCACAGTACAAAATCACAGAAGTAATACTCAATCAGGATTTCAACTCGCCTGTTAGCTGCTCTCCCTGGGCAGATGTGAGTCTATTTAGAAGATAATTCTGAACAGAGAAAACTCTTGGCTTCCATATGTCCAACAATCACATCATCTATCCTTATTTTACAGTTGAACTCTATTACCATGGAACCCTTAAAC